CTTTTTTTTCTCCTCCTCCTCCTCATCTATAAATGTGATGCCAAGGTTTTTCTCTGAGGAAGTGTCAGACAGTTGGAAAAAAAAAAACTTATTTCCTGGATATTTCTGTCTCCCAGCAACCAGCGATGAGCTTGGGCGCAGTCTGTTTACACCTTCCACACTCGGGGATTTACACCCGCGATGCATACAACACAAATATGAAGAGTTCTGGACAGTAACAACTTACAGTAGAAAGCTTCAGTTGGCAAAAAATAAAAATAAATAAAATAAAAATCATCAGCGTTCTTCTCAGGATGAGAGGTAACTGATTGGTTGTRACCAATGAATTCATCTCCTTGTCCTTATATTCATCTAAGGCAGTGGCGGATCTAATCTTTTTCTAAGTTAGGGGCCATCAAGGGGYCATAATRTTCATAGAGGGGCCTAGTATTTGTTCAACATCTTTGCACACAAATTCCTGGTTTTAGTGAGGTGTATACATTTAACCAGTCATACATGTTCAAACACTTTTAAAAAACTTGCACAMTAAATTCTCCTTATCAATTTTACATACAAAACTGTACATAGATAAAATACTCTAAAACGGAGCACGGGAGAAAATCCAGCCGTCGTTTGTCAGTTGAATGACTTTTTCTGCAGTATGGTCTAATCTTAAGAAGAGAAGACTTCTGTAAGTTTGATTCAAGCTGGACTTTCCTATTYGACTCATTAGCGCCTCTAGTGTTTGGGCRTGTAACCGCACACACCATCATTCTCTCAGGCAAAGGACAGATGAATGACAGGACAGGGGCACTTCAAGGGGCCGATCAGATTTCAGCAGGGGCAAACGCCCCAGTGGCCCTGCCCCTAGAACCRCCCCTGGTTTAAGCACACTGGTTAAAAACAAATACATGTACTGTTACACCCTTACAGTACACTTAATACCTGACTGAATGTCCTAATCAGCTTCACAAGATGCCCTCTGTAGCCATAAAGATTATTCTACTAGCACTCTGGTTGGATATTTAACACTAAAAAAATTAAYAAAATTCAGCTGGCATGGACTTTATTTTCATTAATTCAGCAAAATACAGCATTTATCCATCTTTTTGCCTTTTACATAAATGCATATTTGTTACAAATGTTTCTAAAAAGTAAGCACTACTGCAGTCTACTGCACAGTGGTATTTTTGTTTAGCAGGCTTGAAGAGTAAGAACACTTCAAGTTCTTTTTTAGGATGAGTTTTTGGATTGATAAATAATTACTGTGTTGTAATTATTTATCAAGGATAGCCACAAAAATACAGGCACCGTGCACTGATTTTATGAGAGCTAGATGAAGGTGTCYAGTCTGAGCGTTGTTTTCATGTTTTATACTTTCCGGAACAGCACTGTGAYTTTATCATATCTTATTGTGTTTTTATGGAAATAATATACAATTTGCTGTTTTCGTAGGAAATATAGGTATTCACTCACTGAAGAACATTTTGATTTCTTGTTATTTCTTTTTAGTCAAGCTTATTCCTCTGCATGATTTTATCATTGGTTTTAATTACTTTTAAC